AAAAAAGAGAAGAGATAGATTTCAAAGCGAGTAAACCTTCGCGGATCAAAGGCGAGTACCTTCTGCATTGGGGTGCACGGCATCTTGCATAAAGTGCCTGTTGACCACGACTTGCCCTTGCTATGAGCGTAAAAACATCCGTGGCATTAAAGAATTCGACGCCCTTGGCCGTATTGGCGTAACATTCCAGCTTGAGATTGATTTCCTGGATAATGGGCCAGGTAGGAGACGCAAACAGATCATTGGGGTTTTCATTGCGAGGGAGAATGGAGTTGAAACAATCGTAGCTCCAGGATGAAACTTGGGGGATTTCACATCTCCAGACGAAACTGCCCACAGACAATGGATCGGCATGCACTTGTCTTCCAAATCGTGGTGCCAATCAAGATCCACCAGATTTTGGGGTGGAACTGCCGGTGCTTCACCATTCTGGAGACGGAACAGGAGGTTTGCAATTCGATCACCTCCTACACCGAGAGCGACACGTTGACCGCCACCTGCACCACTTTCGGATAAATCCTGTCAAAAGCACGCTTGTTGCTTTCCAAACACCACCCGAGTAACCCAAATCCAGACCAGTAAAGTGCTCAATACTGAAAGAATAATGGAAAGTGAGATCAGATAACCAGACTGTCAGTCAGAGCATGGACTAACCAAATTTTTGACTCACATGCTATCTCCGAGCAATGCCACATTCCGCTTTGTGTTTGGCGTACATTTGACTGTGCGCCAGATCATCGTTTGAATTTCTGTCCACTGAGACCATGGTCCGTTGGCTTGGTTGGTCGATAAGGATGCTTGCACTGGCAATCAGGGAACTGTTACAAATAAAGGTGAAAGTAAAAACAAAAGGCAATATAATGTTGAGAACCCCAAACCTCTCCTTCCTAACCAAACCAAATATACATGATAACTTACACCCTCCTGACAAAATTTAGAAGTGTCATTGTTGCCTTCATAGAAATTGTTAATTGCGGTCAGAGCGTTGTCGTCATACGCGGTGCAAGCTACATCCCCATTGTCCTCATCAATGATTCCGTACAAGATGGCTGCTTCCTTTTGGTATTCCACAGCTCCCATAAAGCCCACAATCATCGTAATGACCAAGAAACTGAAGCAAATCCAACAAAGCCAATAACGGACACAGCAGCTATCGCCGCGGCTGCTTTCGTCGTAATCATCACCCATCATGACGCCCATGCTCTTCATGCGACCCGAAGCCGCGACGGCGTTGGCTTCCTCGTCGTCGCAGCAGCCACTGCTGTCGTCTTCATCGCTGTAACGTTCCACACCATGATCACTCTCGTATGATTCGCTGCCAATCTTGAACACGACCTTCTCGTCTCTGTCGTCCTCGTCTTGGGAAGGAACGGATGCCATGGTGAATGTTAGTGGGAGGTGATGATGAAAGAGAGTGGTTCGTGGGAGGTGGATTTTGTGGGCGATAGGTTTGAATGGCTTTTGAATTCGAGACGGTTATTCGGCGGCCAATGATGCCGTTAAACATTGTTGCAAAGCTGTGAAGACGAATGTTAAATGGAGGTGCAGGGAACCAATCTACCGGGAACTGGCATCTTCCCACTAAAACAACGCATTTACGCTAACTTTGCACTTGGGATGTGGTCGTTGGACATACTAGTAACACTTGCGGTCGCAGACGCATTACATGCAATACACTACTAGTATGCGAACGCTGGACTCCCTTATCAATGAACCATGAGCACTGCACAGCTAATCCCAATATTGCAACCTGATTGTCTCATTTCAAGGGGGCGACTGCCCGTTCGTCGCCGACCGGGATGAAACCCAGGTCGGACCGCTCGTTAGCCTCTTTTCAAGCAGCGTATCGTACCAAAAGTTTGGTATAGTCTAGTGTAAAGACAGGAGTGGAAAATGCTTGGAATGAACCACGGCTGGCTATATATTTCACTAAGACAACGCAAACGTTCAAATCGTGAAGATGAACCAACCCACGACCACAGACGCCGTCGAGGGCGTTATTCGAAGCTCTCACTTTGCGCAACACTGGCAAGATCGAATTGAAGCGGCTTTCATCTCCACCAGCACAAGATCAATTGAGAGAGTTGCAATCTTCACCAGTACAAGGTAGTTAGCATGTCTCGCAAACGAGGTGGCGGAGAAATCATTGATGTAGAGAGCGCCGCTACGAAGCAGGAGAAGGTGTTCCGTTCCATCAAACCTGATCTGGTCGTTGTAGTAGGTGGCAAGGAATTCCAAGAGTACAGCCAGCATCTCTGCTACAGTTGTGAGTACTTTGACAATGCTCTTCGAAGCGGGATGAAAGAGTCCTGGACCAAAAGGTTTGAATTTTCAGACAAAGACCCAAAAGAGTGGGAATTGGTGAGGTCCATGCTTGTTCCTATGGGAGTAAAGCCACGAGCCGAAGATGTAAGCATTGTGCTTCCGTGGTTTGACAAACTGTGCTGCTACGAGGGAGTGAAGGAGTGCGACAAGACGCTGGAGGCCCATTTGAGAGCAGTATTCCAGGGAAAATTCAACGGGTCCGCTTCCTACCGGAACGGAGTACCTCGACCTACTGGTAACATACGGCCTCTAACCGAAAGCCTTGACTTGTCCCTCCGTTTCCCTGGCATGGGGCGATCGAAGCAATGCTGCTTTGAACTTATGAGTTGCATTTTGACAACAAACAGACACTTGTTGAAGGACATGACGGACCGAGCAACTATTGCGTCATTGATGACCACCAACGAAGAGTTCCGCAAGACTTGCTGGGCTGTCATGAATGGCAATCTTCCTGCACCAATTGCTGCACAGCACCCCTCGGCAGATGAGAGCCTCCTGGAAAATGGTCTTTGGGCAGGTCTGATTCTCTCAGCAATGGTCGAGGCGCCAAATGGATACCGCTACTAGCCATCCCTCCGAATATTCGAAGTTGATATATGTATGTAGCGGGTGTGAACGTGCGATCACCCGTCGAGTTTGATGACCGGATGCGGTTTACGATATAAAATGGCCCTTGCATCCGTACGAACCCACCAATCGAGTGCCCTTTCAAAGCTACCTACCGGTACCAACGAGTACTCCGAGTACTCGTATTCGAACTCGTGCACACACTGAACTCTACCGTAAACTAACCAGCCATTTCCTATTTCCAATAAAGCAAATTTATTGGTTTCAGCCCACCAACAATAATCTCGTCTGCCGGTCCCAAACAAAAAAGTTAGCCGTTTTTGTGTGAGGAGACTAATTTGGCCAAGTAGAGAGTACAACCGGTATGGCAAACATTTCAGTGCCAATTCCGGAGACAGGGCAAGGAGGTGGAAGCATCGGAGGGGATATTGACAGGCAACCACTCCCTGGCAATGACGGTCCGGGGCGACAGCTAACCGGTATGGCAAACCTCTCAGTGCCCATTGATCTGTTTTCAAGCCAGGCAGGGCAAGGAGGTGGAAGCAACAGAGGCGAGACGGGGATTCAACCAGCCCCTGTCAACGATGATCCACCAAGGCAACAGCTAACCGGTATGTCACAACTTTCAGTTCCAATTCCGGAGACATGGCAAGGAGGTGGAAGCAGCGGAGCTGATAAGGACAGGCAACCACTCCTTGGCAACGATGGTCCGTGGCAACAGCTGAATGGGAAGGAATGTGATTAGGAGCTGATTGTTCAATCTCTAAGCAGGCTAGTGCAAGGGGGTGAAAGCAACAGGCGAGATGACAAGGCAAGCAGTCCCTGAGACCAATGGTGCACCGATGAGTCTAATCCATTAGGATCTATTGTAAGCATACTAGCTAAGCCATATCTTCCCAAAACACAAGACCTTACGTAATGTCATTACATCTTTTCTTCTGGCTTGGGTTGCACAGCTAGCATCAGGCGAAAGCCAAGGCCGCAGCTACGAGAATCAGACTGGCGACACTTGGCACTGACGCGGAGGATGGTCCATCGATTGGGAGGCATGTAGTAGTATCCAGCACAGGAAGAGACTGCTCATCCGCAAAGGGATTTGGAACTGGCGTACCCCGTGGACGACACGATTGCTGTTGGGAGTCCTCCTGGCAAGTGAATTGAAAGGTTTCGTCATCGCCCACGGTCCTCGAAAAGCTTGCCTGCAAGGCATCGGGAGGGATTTCGTCGAACGTTGTGGGACAAGATCCCTCGGCGGAAGCATATTGGCCGGTCCCACCAAAGGCATAGTTGATGTAGGTTGCTTGTCGTGTTTCCTCCTCGTACTCCACCTGGAACAAGTTGCACCAAAACTCGCTGCTGGAATCGGCAGTTTGACCCCACCACACACCTCTTCCTTGCAGGCCGAGGCAGTCCCAGCCAACCATGGCCTCGACACCGAGACCCGTTTGTGGGACACCGTCAAAGTACCAAATATTGGTGCCATTGCCGTACATGGAGAGGGATGCTCTGGTTGGTCCTTGTTGCGTTCCTGTTGCCGCGCAATTGGTTCCATTCCAGAAACCCACTACTTCGAGAGGAGGTGCGACCATGGGGATCATTTGGTCGTCATTATTATTTGGGTTTGTGAATTCTGTACATTGTTCTTCTTGGCTCGATTGGTTCATGTTGCTTTGATTGATAGAAAATTGCTGGAGAAGTTTGCTTTTGTAAAGTTTGTTGTTGTTGTCGCATTGTGAGAATAGAAGGGTCTTACTTCCTAACTAAATCGTTTGCTCTGTTGGGCTAGAGCAACCTCTGTTGCATAGCCGCCAAGGCTGTGCAGAACTGGTTTGTACACCAGGATCTTGGTCTTGATGGGTACAGGTTGGTTCGATAACTTGCCACCGGTGACAATGCGAGGTTGAGCTTATAAAACACCAGGTTACTGGCTGGTACCGGTACCGGTACGGCTTCCAGCTCGACTGAGGACTCGAAGCAGTTTCCCCGTTTCGCGCCAGCCACAAGTGAACCACGGTCAGAGCCTTGACAACACACGTCATCTTGCGGCCTTCACGTCATTGACCATCCATCAATGATTCATTGGATGAGAAGAGCTCCAAAGTTACGATTGAATGATTGGATCTTTCTTCATAATATTATTCTGCAAAGATCCACAACTATCACAGAACCGAAACTACCTATCCAACATGAGACTCTCTTGCTCTGCTATCCTCTTGCTGAGCTGCCATGGCCTTCAAGAGACGGCTGGTTTTCAGCTTGGGCGTCCCTATTATCGCCATTACCACCAAAAGGTCCATCGCCGCCTCTTGGCCAGTGTGATGGAAGATACACTGATTGAAGAAGAACAAATGACACGATACATTGCCGAAATCAATCGCTTTCAAGATCTGGCAGTATCCACCTACGAGCAGCAGCACAAAGAATTGAACAATATTGCCGCCGCGCTTGAATCCATACGGACCGGAGAGCCCATTACCGATTGGGAAGAAACTGTCATTCCCGTAGCGACACCCACACGTCAAGAAAACGGGTGGACCCAACCTCGAGCCGAAACAAGGGCTCCAGCGTGGCCACCAGTTGCACAACAACCAGTCTATGAACCACCACCACCGCCACCACCAGTCACTGCCATTCCACCGCCACCACCACCACCGACAATTTCGGCAGTTCCACCTCCTCCACCGCCACCACCCGTCTCTGCTGTTCCACCGCCAGTTCCACCTCCTCCTTTGCAAGTTGATTCCACAACAATACCCACAGCAATGGCAGACTTGACAGGAGTTACCTTTCAATTGGAAGAATTGGAGGACCGAGAATCCTGCTCCACAGAACTCACACTGGAAACCGACAACACGGTAACATTGGGCGACACTGATGGACCTCTGTTTAGCCAGGCCACTGGGACCTGGTCCGTGTATCATTCCAAAGAAGAAGAAGAACAAGAAGAACTTCTCTTTGACATGTCCATTACACGAACGTTTGATGCCGGTCAGAAATCTACCGATATGGGTGAATTTACCTTTTCCGTCGATCGCATGTATTTGGGAGATGTCACCAAAGTGGGAGATCGATTGGCCGTGACGGGAACGATACATTTGGTGGATGAACTGTTGGGAGATGAAAAAATTGGATTCTTCAACATGATTGACAATCGAGAAGAGAGCGACGAAGATAAACAATTCTTGTACGGACGCCGTGTGCAGACGGGGTAGCTATTTAGCTACCGGTACCAGTAGTACTAGGAGGAGAAACCTAAGACAACAATAATCACACTTCAACACACACAACATGCAGAACGGGTCAAAGGAGATGGATTTGGCGCATGGCAGCTGGAAGGAATCTCAGTGGAAACCCAGAACGAAAAGAATCACCAAGTGCAAAATAAATCACAAGAAGCACACAAATCCATGTCTTTGGAACCGAGGCATTAGGGAGGGTGGGCGGATCAGCCAAGCAAACCAAAACACACACGCAAGAAGAAGTGCCCAAAATGTGTTGTAATTTGTACTTTTCCATTAGAAGCTAGCTAGCACCAATGATGTGATGCGATAATTATTAAAGTAATGTTGTTGTCACTTGTTGGTCTCGCTGTCGAACTATCCAGAACAGGTTTAGGATTGACGATGCCGTCTCTTGCACGGGGAGAGGGCTCCAACACCAGACTGGTGAGGGATGAGATCAAAAAACTCTTGACGCATTGGATGCCTCTTGGTTTCACAAGTGGAGGTTTTTGATGAAGTGATTGCAATTCAAAATTTCTCGAATGGCGACTCCGCCTTTGAGACCAAGGGAACTCAAGACTCTTAACCGTAGCTGCTCTAGTGATTTGGAGGAGTAGAATGAATCCATCTGGTTCTTGAGCAACCTTGTCGTGTCCTTTTTTCAAAGAGAATCACCTGACGAGATGGATTGCAATGGAGGAAACTTTGGAGCATCTTGGGTGTCATGTTTCGGGGTGAAAAAGGAAACATAGTGACGGCATGCTTCACTTCGCACAACAAGTCCTGCATGGTGTCGGCATAGATAGCTACTGTGACAGCATACCGGTAGGTGCGGGTGTCGAAGATTTGTTGCTCCCTTGGATGCCAGAAGGCGATTGTCTTCTACTGACAGCTTCTGGAAAACTGAACCGAAGGAACCTCCCACTCTACCATGCACAGCTAGTTTTAGAAGATCGCGAGAAAGTTGTTGTACGATGTACCGATACTTTGGATCCATCCAAGGAACTACTCCAGTACGTAGCTTTCTAGCCATTGTGGTTATTAGCTACTGCTTAATCTCTTTTGAATTCTATCATCAGCTTGGAATGCCTTTTCCAGGGTCTTTCCAGATTTCTCTAGCTTTGTCGCCATCTTGGCATCCACGTTGCCGACAATGCTCTTTTTGGCATCGGGCAACAATTTGAGCCATTCGGGGGTTGGAACCACCGACAAGGCCTTGGAAAGACTCGCGACAAAGGCTTTGGATTCGGCCTTGGGGATGTTGAGCGTCAACTCGGTTTGACCGACCCAGATTTGTTCCAATCCCTGACTCGATGCTGGCAAGCAAATATCCCCACCGCCACTACTGCTAGGTACTGCCTTGTTGGCGGGAGCAAACTTGTCCTGAAGCGCCTTTACTTTGGTAGCATCCAGTCCTTGTACGACCGGCAACGACGCAAATTGTTGAGACGTGGCGGCCGAACCACCCAACGATTGGCAACTATCTCCCGAGACTCCCGTGTAGGCGGATTGTACCACGGTGGCAAAGGCAGAGACTTTTTCATCGGGAATGGAAAGAAAGCTGTCAATGCCCTTGTCGAGAGCTTCCGATGCCTTGGCCGCAGGAATTTTCTTGTCGACAATGCCCATCAGTTTGCTCGTCAACGGTGACACATCTTGCATGGAAGAAAGCACGGGGTATGCATCCTTGCTGATTTGGACAATGGCAGCTTCGACTTGAGTACCCGTTACAACATCACTAGCAGCCATTACGGGAGCCGGGTTGATACTCAGCAAGGCTGCCGATATGGCACCGGCTACAAGATGATGCGACATTGGAATCTTTTCATGTTGGTGGCATTCTGCGGATGATTGTGGTCGTGAGACTTGAAAAGCGTTCGCTGTACCGGTGAAACTCAGTAGTAGCACTGATACAACCAGCACACTGCTGCCCCAGAGGGTGCGCTTTGAGGAGAAAAGAAACACCATCTTCCTTGCAAGAGAAGTGTCAAAGTTTGCTTGGTTTTCCAAACACAAGGAAAAAACAAAAAGCAAAGGCGTTCGTATCTTGGATCTTTTTCTTCAATGACAATTTAGGGTTAGAGCTTGGACTCTTCAGTCTCGTGTGTGCCGGTCCAGGACGAGATTGGTGGGGGTTTGAGGAGCTTTCAGCCAGCTAGCTAGTCTAGCTATCGTGAACAATATGACCTTAGTAGGCTGATAGTTTGTTTGGTTCTATAGGACGTTAGAAGCAGGAAACACTGTATAGTTTGAATGAAAGGTTTATAAGGCTGCACCATGACTTGGGTTCCCCGCATTGGTGCCGGTATCGGAAGCACGAGAAGTGTGTTTGATGAATTTGGAGTTTGGAGCGGAGTCACTTGATAGATAAGATAGCTGGTTTAGAAGATGTCGTCCAATTGAAAAGAGGCATCGAAGTCTTGGCCAAGGCAAAGATCGTTCCATAGACCCGACACGGAGAATCCCAGTTCCTCGTCCTGCCGACCAATGTCGAGATGTGGAAGCTCATCGTCGTCGTCGCTTTCGGCCCCCGCCCCGTCGTTTGAATGAGAAGACCCATTGGAGAAGACAGAAGATCCGCAGTGTCCTCCTGCTTCGTCGTTGTTACCCTGATGACAATGATCCTCCCGGATCGGGTCGGGCCAGAGTCCGTCCGCTTCTTGCAAGGAGTCGAAGGTGGGCGAAAAGCTGTTGCTAGCTTCATCTTGCCTCCACTGACGTGGATTCACCATGTTCCAAAGACTCTGTGAGGATGAAGGAGCGCGTGTGGCCATCTTCGATGACGACACGACGGCACCGGCAATCCCGTTGCTTGTCTGCATCGTCCCAGCGGGCTGTATTGGGTATTGCATTCCCTGCTGCGATGTCTGCAAGGCTGGCAAACCAGCACTACGAAGGTAGTCCAATCCAACGGCGGGAGAACCGCGAGTGTCAGCAGCTGGAACGCTACCGAGGCCCCGCTTGCTGCCCTCCATGCACCTCGACAAGAACGCATTAGTTGGTCTCTTGTCAGCCGGGCCGCTCATCCCGGCCTCCATTGCTTTCTCCGCTCGACGAAGATGGGAAAGGATTCGTGCCGTGTTGACTTTGCGAGCGTTCGTGCCTTTCCCCACCTTCTTGATCTTTTGAGCCAGATCTGGCATGCCCATGACAAAGTCCTTGTGATAGAATTCTGTTTTGTATTGTGATTGCAAACAAGCAACGGAAGTGTCAGCATTGACCCTCGTAAACATGAAGCATACAAGCATACCCATCGGGGTTTCGACTAACTTACCTCCATCCGAAGATATCTTGACAAAGCCATACATGCTCACGAGGCGGAAGAAGCTCGCAAACTTGATGCGCGGAAACCATACGGGCATGATGAGACGTTCAAACCTCTTCTTGTCGATCACCCTGAAGCTTGCACCGTTACGTTGCCAGCAAACGACGCTTTTCAACCGCAGCATGTCACTGTCTCGCTTGACCAGCTCTTCAATCTCCGTGAGGCAGCGGTGCAGCAAGCAGGGAAACTCGGTGGGCATACCACTGGTTGGTAATACCGGAAGGTTCATCATTGCGCGGTTCATGATGTGTGAAGTGGATGTCGATGTTTGTTGAAGATGTGCCAAGCTTGTGTTTTATGAGCTATATCAGAAGGCGACACGTTTTATGAAAGCAAAAGCAAACAATCATCCACCAGCTCATCAGCCCATACACAGCAACCGGCGGCCCAAGCTAGCAAGGCCCTTTGCGAACGAGCCAGTGCTGGTACCATGTAAAGCGACAATTTCATGTACCGGTAGGGTAATGACTGCAGGTACGCAAGTACCAACCAACTCGTAGTTTTGTAGTTTTGAAGCTGTACAATCGTACAATCGAGGGCTGGTACAGAAAAAGGGTTGCTCGTGGTAGCCAGAACATCCTCGAACGTGAAGCACGCAGCTTTAGACATTCTGAGGGGAAATCCCCTTCGTGACTGTGCCTTGACTGTAGTATGTACGTACGACCACGGACATTTTGAAGCTTTTCCCTTTTAGGATGTGGCTCAGCCTTCTGTCTTTTTCAATTAGTCGACAAAAGAATCTTAAGGCCGGAGGGCACCAAACTTGTGTTAGACTTTCAGTCGGTGGTCATACTAGTAGCTCTTGACAATCAGAAGAACTGTTAAAACGCAAAATCCACAAACCAAGACAACCCAGCTGACAGCTTGGTTGGTATTTACTGCAGTAAATCCGGGTTACTGGCTCCTTACTGTCCAATTACTGCCATTGTTGGCCACCTAATTACTGCAGTAAGTAATCCCATGCAGTAAGTAATCTGCCTTTGCAACAGTAATATCCAGTAAATGACAGTAAAAGCACAGTAATTAGCCTTTATTACTGCAATTACTGTAGTTTACTGCCTTCAATTGGCTTTAAATTACTGTGCATAATTACTGCTACTGAGGAATTACTGCATTACTGCCATTACTGCTCCTTTTACTGACCTTATGGCAGTAAGGAATAAACAGTAAATACCAACCAAGGCTGACAGTCCGAAGCAGCTCCAAAGCAAAGCTTCGCAAGCTTTCTCTGTTGTTCAGCTGTTTCTCTATGGTCAAGCGAAGAAGCTGATGTGCAGTTTCGGTGGTTAGAGCTGCAACCCTTGAGCTACTCTTCATTGTTCTTTTGATGACTACCTTCTTACTTGGGGTTTGCAGAGGGCCTGAGGTGATTTAGGTAAATGAGAATTCGCTCCGCCCCTACTGTCCTTTTAGGTGCGTTTGGGACTTGAGGAGCCACGCTATTTAATACTCCTGGTAGCGACAATGTACTCCAATAGATGATGGGCTTATTTTTAAAGATAATATCTATAGCTACTACAGTAGCTAGTATATCTATTTGGTTATTTATTTGGGTGGTGGGTGGTGGAGCTGTGGGGGTACCGGTAGTACTGTAGCTCCTTAGTGCAGTGGTGAGTGGTGAGAGTGATGTGAGCTGTGAGTTGGCGGAAGGAGGCTCACCTGTGATCCTGTGAGCTATCGTGATGTATGATTTGTAGGGGGAAGTTTGCATAATGCATATGTGAGACGGGACAACAGTGGTCCCAAACGCAAGGACTGTTGTCAGCTTGGGTGTCTGGTTGGAGCTCTGGTAGCTCGCATAGCAGGGCTTATTTATAAGGCAAAGCTGAAACATTTTCTGTGGCCTGTGCATCGTATCCAGCAGGAGAACAAGCAAGCAAGCAATACTCAATGGTCACATCTATAGGCTCAATCTTGAAGGCATCGAAAAGGCCTGTTTCCCCTTACTAGTATGACTTTTATGTTTGATGTTGGATGTGACTGCTAAAGGCTGATGATTCGATGATACAGTAAAGCTACAGTAATCAGTTACATTATACATGTAGATCTTCGGTATGTATGTTGTAAGAGTTGATGAGCTGCTGAGCATGAGGTGTTGTCTTGTCTTCCTAAATCCGTGGTCTCAAAACAAAGCTTTGAGGGAAGCCTCTTTCCTACTCAGTACTTGTTTCCGTGCCTTCCTTGTGCCTTGTCCGCATCATCTTCCTTGCCTCTCGGCACTCGACACTCGACACAGCTCTTTCCTTTGCCTCAGGCCTCAGGGGCAGCTACCAACCAACGACCAGCCACAGCCCAAGTGCTTTACATGTACAGTCGTATGCTGGAGCGCAGCCAGAGCGAGCCTCGCAGCTCCCAGCCTTCCATCCAATCATCCAAAGCCCAGCATTCTGTGCAGCTCAACAACATAAAGCAGAATGTTACTAGATGTATATATACCGTAGCAGACCAGCAGCTGGTAGGATGAGGCTGCTTCGGATCCTTCGGAGCGGCACCTTGAGGGTTGATCGTTGCTGGTCGGCTGGTCGATGTTCCAAGATGGATAGTCCCGAATCCGTGACTATTGACCACCGATTCCATTCTGGATTGGATTTCTTTTCATTTGTTTCTGATTGCCGGGGCTTGCCCTCTTGTAGTACAAGCAAAAAAGCAGCATGCATCACATACATACATGCGAAGAAGAGTGAAGGGGACAGCTCTCAGAAACACAAAAGATAGAACAGAACGCTTTGCGAAGGGTGCATGCAGCCAATTGTTCTCTGCTGCAGCGATACTCCGTAGTCAGCCAAATCTTTGGTCGCCAAGATTGATTTGATTGACCGATTGACCATCTTGTCAGTTGCCAAAGCCACCAGGCAGTTCGGAGAGATCACTTACTTGGGAAAAGCGAGCTCTAGCTAAGAAAGTTGAGACTAGATCTATGCCGCGGCCACTGCCGCCATCACCTCCTGGACATCATAGTTTAGTGTCTGCTAGTGGCTAGCTTTTGGTCCCCACTACATGTAGCTGGCCAACAGGAGCTCCAGCAGGCTGGTTGGGCTCGTCAATCATGAAACCTCAAGCAGACTGTCACTCGCTAGCTAGCTAGCTCCCTATTTCTCCACTGGCCGGCTGGGTCGTGTAATCTGCTGAGGGCCGGTTGCCAGATATCATGCAAGGTACCAGAGGAAAGGGTTGCCTACTCGGCAGCCAGTCCGTAAACAAACAGGTGGTTTACTAATGGTAACTATAGTACTATTAGGATACCGTTTGGTGTTCGTGGCGTTGCAACAGCACCTTTCCAGGGCTGCGTCTAGTCGTTGGCGGCCTCTGCAGACGCGGTATGCGCCGATATCCATACAACAAGCTATTTGACATGTACGAGCACAATCAGTTCTGATCCCCGAAGCAGCTTTGGTTTTGGACCTTCAAAAGAGGGGGGCCGACAAAAGAGGGTCCGCAGGGAGCACACTTTACCCTGATTCCCCATCAGACGCTCACTGATGACCCCTGTGTTGCTGGATTCATTGCGTTCCAGCGACGATTGACCGGATGCTTCAGATTCTCCGCCAGGAAGGCTCTGCCAAGATCCAGCAGTTTGAACTTGTACTTCTTGTGGATTGCATTCAATGATTCAAACAGTTTCAATCTTTCTTCACCGGGCAAGTGCAGCTGTTTCGCAGCAAAGTGAGAGTACAGAGGGGTCCAGTCACCCAACAGAGGCGGAGCCCTCAGAGAGGTCAAAGAAGCAATAGTAATGCCGAAGATATAGGCACCAACGTCAATGCGGCTCATCAGCTCTCCCTCTCCAGGCCCAAATTCTCTCATTCTTACACCTGAAAAGTCGGGGTCCGCAAAAGATGGGATGTTGTCCGAGTTGACGTTATGCCCAGCAGTGGAGTGCCATACAATGGTGGTGATGTAATCGATTAGCTGATCCCTGGTCTTCAACTCCTTCAATCCCATATCAGTGCGCATGTACATGAGCCCATAGGGCAGGTGGCTGCAGCCTGGATCTAAGTTGCACTTGATTTGAAGGGAGAGCCTTACTGCCTTTACCCGGGTAAAGGGGTCCTCTTTCGTGCACCAGTTTCGTCGGCGAGTCACATCGTGCTGTCCTTTTGCGTATTTCACAAGATCTAGCAGCTCCATGCAGGTCCGAGTGGTTTCAAAACCGGGCCATGCTTTGTCGTCAAAGAATAGATCGGAGTTCAGTCCACAAACACACGGATCCATGTTCCTTCCGTAACTGCGGGGGCGTGAAAGAGAAAGCCAATACTAGTATGTGAGAAACGACCATCAATGTAGGCATCTTCAGACACAAAAGACACAAAGGTGGACTCTCGACTTACGTGTTGGCGTGGTGCCAGAAACGGACTGCAGCGTCGTCTTGTAGCATAGCTTCGTCCGTCGGATAGAGAACCTTTACAAAGCTCTCCACAAACTCTCGATGCGCTTCCCAAAGGCGTATTGCTTGTGAATGGAATGGAACTTTCCTGGTGTCCATCACCTTGTGCAAATTGGATTCTTCAAGTGCTATAGGGACGGTTCGCGAAAAGTTGAGATCTTTGTGAATGAGCATAAAGAACTCCGTGTACCCGTCCTGGGTGTATCCGCTTGCGTGGTTTAGAATGCTGTGGTTGCGACCCAACATGTGATAGGCAGCCCAATTGACAGAGTGGGTGTGTAGAGTGAACGGTTTAGTGAGAATTCTCAATCCATGGTTCTCCGGCAGACACTGCCAGGCAGCGGTGGCAAAAGGCTGGGACCACGTGAAATGCGACTCGAATACATGAAAGGTGGCCACCACAACTCGTTCCGTTACTCGGTAGAAGTATTTGGCATGCTCCCAGTCCTTTTCACCGGGCAGGAACATTCTTTTCCTGCTAGACTCCCAAATTCCCATTGGGAGCTTAGTCTTTGTATCTAGGTACAGGATGCAACCAGGTGCGAAAAAGCTCTCACGAGTCTCCAGCTTGGCAAACACTGCCAGGTCGATTTCCGCAATTTTGTCCTTGAACCTTGCCAACGGAACTGCTTCTCCACGTCGTCGAGCCCTCTTCGCCTCGTTAGGCCAAAACTTGTAGATCATATCAAGCAATTGATCCGAAGTGGGCTTGATGTGATACCGAAACGCTTCACGGTGTTCATCTGTCATGTATTGGCTGGGTCTGCCTGGATACAAGTACTCGTAGTCATCGTTGATACCCGGTAACTTGACCTGGGTCAAGAACTTGGCACCTGGTCCAAAGAAGACTCGGTCAGCAAGCGTACGGTCGCTGGTTGGATCTTCGAATGCAGCATAGTCATTGGCATACTTCAGTTTGTCCGCCATGAAATCGGCAAGGTCGGCATACTTCTCTGTTTGCAGGAACCACCGGGGAAAATACCAATCATCCTGGATGGTTCCCTCCAATTCCCAGCGGTAGAACGCGTAGTACTCTTCCTTAGACTGAAAGTAGATAGGTTTATCTTCAAAATCAAACCGCGTGAAAATGTCAACCAGGCTTTCCAGCAGCTTCATATTTCCAGAGTCTACGTCGATGTCCTGATCCATGCCTGGACTGGTGAAGAAGTAGAGCGTAGTTGTGTAATCGTGGATCTTCATGCCTTCATCATTCGTAGATGGGAACAACTGAGTATAACTGATAGCTTTCTTCTCCAAATCATGATCCTCTGGAACAAAAAGAGCAAATCGCAGAACGAAGCACAAGGCAACGCCAATATCTTTTAGAACGTCACCTCGCATAACACGTTGCAGTGCAGCAGTGGATATGTTCACCCCCTGTTCACCGGTGAACCGAGGCATCTTCAAATCTGCCAAAAACTTGTTGGGATCAGGGTTGTCAACTCGACTGGCCGGAGAACACAAAAAAGTCTCCATGACATCGGCTATTTCCGTGTCAGTGAAGTGTCCGTCAACACTGAGCGCGCTGGCAAACTTTTGATTGAAAGTTTTGAGATTGGCTGCGACTGTCTTGTTGCTGTAATGTAGGTACCAAGCGGCCAGATCGCCAAACATGGAATCTGCATGTTGGTACGGGTGCAAATCGAACATTTCTTCCTCTTCTGCGATGAGTTCTGCCCGATTGGCTTCGTCAATAGCAGCAGCATCTTGACCATTGCCCTTCCAAAAGGGAACCCACTGGAGTGGTTGCCAATCGTCCAAGAAGAGAACAAAGACACTACTGACACATTTTCGGCAAGAGGCTGTGAACTTGGCTTTCTGCTGATGACCAAGGTCCCCATCGGTGTCATCCCGACTCAACAGGAGGTCCCATGCCACTCCTGTCTTGTCAAGGAAGCCTTTGCTGTTGTCCATTCCAGAAAAGTCTTGCGACGATGCCATTGCATCTTCGGCCCAATGAAAGACACAATGGGTACAAGAACTAGTCGCCAGCACGAGAAAGAGTGTCGTCATGATCAGAATGATGGTCAACCCAATGATATTGACAATACGTTCTCCTCGTGTGGTCTTGTCAATAGTCTTGGTCAAAGCTGCCATTGATACAACAGAGCCAACTAATGCTGGACATGTCACCACCCAAGTCGGAAAGGAAAAGAAGGTCACAATCAATCCAAAGAAGACCAACTGCAGAGTCCCAAAAAATCCAATCAAGATGTAGTCAAAGTCTGCATCCTCAATTTCGTCAGGATCAAGGTACTTCTCCATGGTTTCCGGCACAGCACGAAGACTCTCCGCTCCTGCTTCTGAAATGATCATACTGACGCGGGAGATTCGCCTAAAGGCTCCGGTCCCCACTTGGCTCATACGATGCGTCATGGACATGCGTCCCTGATGGCGATGTCGTCGAGTATGCTTATGGGCCCGAAGACAACTAGCATTGGCGTGGTCGCTTTTGCTAAGCAGGTTGTTGTTGGCATGGTCGCTTTTGCTCGAAAGAAGGTTGCTGGTATGATCGCTCTTGCTCACCAGAGGTTTGGCATGATCGCTTACGCTGAGCAGGTCGTCTGATCCTTTGAAAGACTTGGAGGAGCTCGAAGAGCATGACCCAATAGTTCCAATGGTGGATGAACTACCACTTGCGCCCTTGCTTTTCCCTCCTCGGATATTGCTGACGCGGACAGTAGAGCTGCTCGTACTACGTTCCAACTGCTCCATGAACTGGGCTGAATACATTGCCGCATCCGTGTCACTGATGGTGTGACTACTGCGTTGCAAAGGACTTTCATCCCCCCCGTCAATCAAACTGTTTCTGGTTTCCTCCAGTTCCGCCAAACCCTGTATAGACACTTCCGAACTGTTGAGCTGATCCATCACCTCTGTCGAAGACGTCGTAGATGCCTCTGATCTCTCTTCTCCCTCAGGAATGGCATCAAACGTAAGAATGGAGTTGGTGGAGCTCATCACCGAGTCGCGGCGATTGGCACCGGTAGGCATGCTAAAGACAACGTTGTGGAAGCCACCAGGAGAGGTAGTACTGGCGTGAGTGCTGTTCGGTGGACTTTCGTCTTCATTGTTGCTGTTTCCCGACGATCCAGGGACGACAGAGGTGGGAGTGTTCATGGCTGTTGTTGCTGGTTGCTGCTCGAGAATAATAATATGGGTCAATCCTGACTGGCTATTTTACAACCTCGGCATACAGCAATCTCGGGTGAATGGTAAAGGCAACAGGACCTTATTTTGGCTCCTTCTGGAGGTGTGACGAGTGACATCGCTCCTGCTGTGGAATCTCGGTCCAGGTCTACGAGCTTAACGGACACCCATTCTATTTCAAACATACCCAGTCAAGATCACCCCCGCAAAATTTCAAAAATAAAATTGTGAGGCTGGGTTTCGCAACGCCACAGTGTTGCTTGCAAAGATTTAAGAGGAATTGCGATGCTTATCGCTGATTTTGTTGGAGCCGCACCAGTGACCAGTGACCCAAAAAGCAACTCTCAATCCCGTAAATAATTACATCTTTGGATCTTTGGTAAACAAGATGCTCAAAGCCACGTGTCCGGGTATTCGCGGACACCGGTACCAACTCGCAGAGACTCCTTGTTAACGTTTGTTTTACCCGTAGCCTGTACCGGTGGCCACAATCCAAACCATTGCTTCCCCAGCAAGTACTAGTATAGCTAGCTAGCCAGCAAGTTAGCTAGCTAGACCTACAGGACCTCTGTGGAAACTCGAGTCGTGCTACCGATCGTCTCCTAAATCCTTTTTTCGTCTCCTATTTAATGGATTTCGTCTCCTAAAAATAGGAGACAAAACGGATCGTCTCTTGAATCTTTCGTCTCCTCTTAAATCGTCTCCTATTTTCAACGGATCGTCTCCTATTCTCAACGGATCGTCTCCTAAGTGTACTATGTAAACTGTATGGTATCGTCTCATAAATCTTTCGGATCGTCTCCTATTTCGAAACGATCGTCTCCTAATTGGAATGTCTCCTGCTGAATCGTCTCTTTTAAATATAGGAGACGATTGCTTTCGTCTCCTAAATCATTTCGATCGTCTCCTATGCCTCGGTGTATCGTCTGTTAAGTATGTTTCCACGAATGACGTTTCCACAGAGGTCCAGTACGGTAGCTACCGTATGGTAGATGGCATTCGACACTTCAACCAAAATGAGTCTTGTATTTTCCCCGCAAGACGGCCACTACATGCACCGGTACCGTGAATTCAGGAGGGATCCTTTGGCGTGAAAGCAAGATGGAGATACCCGTGTGAGGGTGGAAGACCAAGTCCCAGCGCTTCCCTAGTCCTCTCCGCAGCATGCTCTTTCCTCCCAAACAATCTGCCTGCAAACTAGAAAAAAATGAGTCAAAACCAAGAGCAGCGGCAAGCCATCTCCTGCCTCTAGACAAGCCGGCCCACTCCAATTAGGCAGCAATGAAGATATTTCGAGTTGTTTCTCGTCTTAATAATAGGCGCACTTTTCGCCATGCTGTTTGTTTCTCACGTTTCGCAAGCAGATCTTATCACATCTACCCCAGCGTCCCGTGTACCAGGAGTCCAGAGCACTTTCCTTCTGATCCGCAGCGGCTTTATCAAAAAGACAACCATGCCGGCTCTGTTGAGAGTGGCACTCCGTCGTACTTATGTGGCTAAAGACGGATAATCTTGATTGAATCAAATATTAATACAAATCTTATATGTGGTATAGGTTATTCTTAGCGAGACAATTTCACGAGTTCTATCAGGACACAAGGGGGGCAGAAATGTAGAGTGGGGAATGAAACAAGCAACGGGAGCCAGTAGATGGATACACAACACGTCAACATAGAGGAAGAAGGAAAACAATTGTAGATGGGTGGATCTTTCACAGCGAGCCGACAGTGTGACGCCTTGGGGTTGTCGCCGCCAGCCTTAGAGACACCTTTCGCCCGGCTGCTTGCCGAAGGCCCTGATGCGATACTCTTGAGGAGATTAGTGGTTCCAAGAAGAGAGCGTCAAGTACCGCATTATGACTGTTCACATCCGATGATTGACGACGCGGGCACTTTGCATTTGCCACGGAGCATATCGGTTTCGGGAATTGTGGGGAATCAACTGATTGCCAACGACTGCGTCCTGTCTCGGTCATCGACAGCGGTTCTTTGATAGCACATGTGGACGGCGTCGACGGCCATTGAATGAATTCAATTGACGTCAATGATTGGTCAACGGCACTGTTGGTTTCGTTTGTTGTGTTCCTGGGCGGAGAGACGTTCATGGCTGGAGTTTGAGAAGGGAGATAGAGATCAGAGGGCTTGTCGCGTTTACGTGTAAACCTTGAGATGAGTTTATTAATGTGCCGGTGAGGAGGGCTGGAACCTTTTTGTTGGTAAGCCCTTGTGCACTGTGCACTTGTGCAACGTTCACCAGCCGGGTCCTTGACCCTGCATTGGGAAAGATTCGACGTCGTCAAAGCAGAGGTGTGCATACAAAAAGCTTCCCGAGCGCCAAGTCTTGGTTAGTCTCCAACCCGGGGTCGTAAATAGTGAGGACAGCTCAGACTTGTATAAACCCAGAATACTTAAAGGCTTTTATTTATTTTATTAAGCCGGATAAAAAAGACTGTCTGGGGACACCAAAATTTGGTTTGTTTAGAATGAACAAGTTTCTTTCAACATAGACCTGGCTTCTTTTGGTCATCTAATAAAGCCCCGCTTTTTGTGTTTTCGTAAGTACCAAATTATGGTACTTAAGGAGACGTTTGAATGAGAAGTCATTAGCTACAACTGAGTACTGTCATTGGCACGGTCCCACATTTGCTTTTCCTCCGAACATACCGTGCTGAACGCAACGTATGGAAAAGAAACTGTATGCAGATGAACCGCATGAACTACAAATCCAGGTCTGATGAATGGAGAAAACTATGTCTCATTTACAAGCTCTCTCTAGCTAGTTCAGTCATCCATATTGAGTAATAGCAAATAGCAAGTAGAAGTACTGTTGAAGACAGTGTATTCCATGTGCATTGTAAAGAGGACAACGTGTACCGATTTTGTGGAGGGAAATTGGTGGGGCTAGCATTGTTCGGCCATTGTTGGCTGGCCTTAGTGTTGACAGCCAGCCAGAAGCGAAGAATGCAACGGACAAGAGGTCCATAGAGAAGGACTTGTACTGGCACCCACTTGGAATTGCTGGATGAGACGTTCATGGAACAGTGATCGTAACATAGCCTACTCGAGTACTTACTTCAGAAGGAACAAATGGAACAACGGTACAGTCCCGGACCCGGATGAACTCGTCTCTCGAGCCCCCTCCTACTCTAGGATCCTGAAGAGGGCCAGCTACCGGCAGTAGTAGATGGGAATGCATAAGACTTTCCCCTCTCTCGCCTTTGTTTTCTGTAGCATGGAAAGCATGAGCTGCTAGGCATGATATCTTTTGAACTATATTTTCAACATGACACCCATCACTTTGTCAAACCAGCCAGCAGTTCTAACTAACAATTCGATAGTAGTATACTTTAGGGACCTTCGGACATCCATGTCTTCGTAGTTGGCTGCTACCTGGTACTAGTACGGTAGGCTTTGGCAACCGAAAAAGAAGCCTTAGCCACAACAGCCATAATTTGTTTTGCTTCTTTAGTTGTTGAATACCGATCGTAGTAGACTAGAAGACTAGAACAGCAGCAGAGCCATCGTCCAGCAAACATTGGGGTGCAGCCGTTGGAGGCGTTGGGAGGCAACCCAAGCGCAGTTTGGGTGCGAACCAGTTCCAAGTCAATTCGAAAGAACATGGGTGATGAGCATCTCAATTTCCCGGTTCCCGGGCCACGGGCGGCTGTGCCAACCTCGACTGCCCCAATCCAAACCCAGCATGGAAGATGGAAGCTTGTCCGGTGCGAAAGTTGTTTTCTACTACAGTCCAGGAAGGCAGCCGATCAGGCCTTAACCCTAGCTTCAACTCGGATCGCTGAAAGTCGTTCCCATTCGCGCTGGGCGACTTACCGCGACTTACCGCGATTCGCGCTGCGCGAATAGAACGAATTCCGCGAGTTCATCGCGACTTTGCGCGACTTTCTTCGTATTGTTACTAGTAAAGTACCATTCGCGCAGCGCGACTTACCGCGAATCGCGAACAACTTTCAGCGCGAAGCGACTTACCGCGACTTACCGCGAATAAGAAAAGCTCTGGCTTTTTAGCGATGGCACGTGTCAACCCTATCTCTAAAATTCGGCTTTTTTCAGCCTGGTCTCCTGTTTCCTCAGTTTGCTCGCTACTTGGATCCATATGACGAATAGATGCAATCCAGCCATTGTATAGCCAGCTACGGTACCATAGGCAGAGAGTTACATCGATCCGTGACAGTGGCAACAGTACCGAAAGTTCGGCTTTGCTCGCTACGGTTACCGATCCCTCGCATTGGATCCCTATGACGAATACATGCACAAAACCGACTATTGTTAATCCGGCCCTTGTAGTCGGCTACCGTACAGTTACATCGGCGACAGTGTCAACAGTACCGAACACACTCAGGTTCCGTTTTGCAGGCTACACTCGGTTGCCGGTATCTTGCATTGGATCCTTATGACGAATAGACTACATGCACAACCGAACATTATGAATCCACCCATTGTTGCCGGCTGCGGTATAGCTACATCAACGACAGTGGCAACAGTACCGAAAGTTCGGCTTTGCTCGCTACGGTTACCGATCCCTCGCATTGGATCCTTATGACGAATACATGCACAACAGAATATTGTCAATCCAGCCATTGTAGCCAGTTACCATAGAGTTACATCAATCGGTGACAGTAGCAAAAGTACTAGTACCGAACACACTCAGGTTCCGTTTTACTGGCTACACTCCGTTACCGGTACCTTGCATTGGATCCTTATGACGAATACATACACAACCGAAAATTGTCAATCCAGCCATCGTAGCCAGCTATCGTAGAGTTCATCGATCGGTGACAGTGGCAACAGTACCGAACACACTCAGGTTCGACTTTGCTCGCTGCACTCGGTTACCTCGCATTGGATCTTTATGACGAATACACACACAACCGAATATTGTCAATCCAGCCATTGTAGCCAGCTGCCGTATAGCTAGTGGCAACAGTACTTGACTTGTGCATACAGGAAAATGGGTACCGACACAGGATGTTGGAGGAAACATACCTGACACCTCTTTACTATTGACTCGTGTATTAATCATCTAGTCCGGTTCGCATGTAAATTGATCATGCAAGGAACCAAGGGAGTTTTAGGTCTAAAGTGTTGCGGGGGTCCTTATATCCAATTCGATCACAAGAATTGCTATGCACCACCAGAAAATCCTCACTTTTGCTTTACAGCTTAATCTAAAACCAAATTACTCCCCAATAAGCTGCAGTATTACTAGCAAACAACACTGTAAAGCAAAAGAGGGTCTCTTCAAAGGATAATACCTGGTTCAGCCTGTCCATTTGAGGAAGAGGAACTGACGCTTGGACTCTTGTTCTGGTTCTATAGCTGTTGCCTCTTCCTTGATGCTTCTTCCTGAGGAATTGAATCCCCTACCCCCCTAGAAGGGTATCTTCTCCACCACGACCACCTCTTCCTTGAATCTCATGGTTGCCGTTGTGTGGTAAT